TGGGTCATGGCTGACTCTGCAGAACATCAAGAAAATGACCTAATCCCTCTGAGCCTGTTTTCTCACCTGCAAGTGGCAATGGCAGACACCACTGGTGACCCCTCATGCCCCTTGGGCTGTCCAATGCACATGGACCCCAGAGCGCCCCATCACAGCCGCTGGCTCCTGCCCAGGGGCGTGGGCCAGGAGTTCCCAGAGGGACCCTCTGTGAGAACCCTCAACCAAAGGCGGATGAGGTATGGAGGATAAATAGGCCAGGTGCCTCAACCCTCAGGTGGGTGATTGGTGGGGGCCGGCAGCGACTATACAATTAACTAGGTAATTATAGATCCAATAGGGATCCACGAACAAAATAACAAGGCATTGTGAGGAAAAATAAGAGGGGACCCGATTTGGATAGGGTCGTCACAGGTCCCTCTGAGGACGGGACAGCTGAGGAGTGAAGGCGGAGAAGCAGCCAGCCAGGCGGAGAGCGGAGGGAATAGTCCAGCAGGCAGCGTGTGCAAAGGTCCTGTGGCAGAACGGTGGGAGAAAGGGCAAGGGACCTAGGAGGGGAGGCAGGGGGTGCCCAAAAGAGCAACCCGGTGAAGAGACCACTCCCCAAAATCTCACTAAGGCTTGCTGACTGCTTGGAGTGTCAGTCTGTCCTCCTGAGCAAGAATCCGAGCTCTCACATGGACTTGTTCTTGCGTGGCGAGAGTGTTCTGTTTTCTGAGGTTGCAGGGCATGGTGGGTGAGGGCCATCGAGCCTGGACTGGCCTTGATGGAGACCCTAAACTCCAAGGCCTGAGATCCTAAACACCCCTCGCCATGGAGCCAGCTCCTTCTTGCCCCATCCCCCCCACCCCGAGCCTGTCCCCAGCCCTTCCCTTTGGACCTTGTCATGTCCCAGTTCAGTTCCAAAGGCAGATGAAGACGTTGCTGGATTGTCATCTAGATGGTGGCTGGCTGGCCACAGGCACTGGTTCTCATCAGGGCCTCGACTGCTGATGTCCCTATCGTCCTCACTCACAGGGAGCTGCCCCTGTTTTCCCTGAATTTCTCGGGGTCATCGCTCCTACTCTGACTTTAGAGTGGTGCCTCTGTCCCTCATGAGGCTGTGAGCTCCTCACTGAAAGGCTGTGCTGCTTTATCGTGTGGCTGTCTGCCCAGCAGGAGGTCTGGCATTTGGCCGGCCCATGCGATGGATGGATGGATGGTAGAGGAGTGGATGGCCGGGGGTGTGATGGTAGATGGGTCTTTGGATGGAAGGAGAGATAGATGGATGGATGGGTGGATGGATGGATGGATGGATGGACGGATGGACAGATGAATGGATGGACGGACAGACAGACGAACAGAAGGATGGATGGATGGATGGAGATGGATAGATGGACTGATGGACAAATGGATGAATGGGTGGGTGGGTGGATGGATGGGTGAGTGGAAGGAGAATTACAGTGACATTCTCCTAAATTGTAAAAAAATTTTAAAAAGCAGATAAATGTATTTATTTTACCAATGACAATAAACGAATTTTTGAAATTTCTAACTTGAACTTAGCTTCCCAAAGCATGGGATTTCCCAGAAATCCCCAGCTTGCCCTCAGTATTCTGCGTGTGCCGCATGACTTTCTGTTCATTCCACCTTTGAGCTGACCCGACGAGAGCAGGGCCGGGCAGGTACCCCGGGGGTGCACCCCGTTCCTGGCGCATCTCCCAGGCCTTCCTGGGGGAGCCGTGCCTGTCCCCTCCCCCACCCGCCCGTGGCGGTGGAGCTTTGTTTACACACCACGCCGTGTCTGAGTCTCCTCAGCGCGTCCTGGCGACCACTGTTGACAGACGGGGAAACCGAGGCTGGGAGCAGCAGAGGCTGGTCCTGGGCTCTCGTGATCAGTCGCCACGTGACGGAAGTGGCCGAGGCCGTGTCTAAGCCAGCATGGCCGCCTCTCTCCCCAGATCCGGTTCCAAGGTGTGGACAGCAGTCCGTCGGGGCTCGGCTCCGTGCGGGCTGCCTGCTAGTCCAGCTGTTACAGCCTGCGGAGGACAGGGTCAGCCCCAGGCACTATATCTGGCTGGGCCCTGGAATGTGACCCCGGCAAGGTCACCCTCCGATGGGTGGGCTCTAATTATAGACCTTCTTGCTCATCTTCCCGGGTCCTTCACCCCCAGGCAGGCGGAGGCCTCTGAACCCGCGAGGGGTTCAAAGGCCCGTGCGGAGCAGCTGAAGCTGGGTCACCCAGGGCCGGTCCTGCTTCCCCATCAGGAAGGGCTCAGGGGGCTGGCAGTGGGTCCCAGCTTTGGCTTCAAAGAGGCAGGGCCCCCTGTTCCTGGGGACAGGCGGGGAGTGGACCAGGTCTGGGCCACCCGGCCACCTCTCCGGTCAGCTCTGTGAGGACAGGAAAACTGGCTGGCCACTCCTAAGAGGTTCTTTTAAAAAAAATATTCAGCACCTGCGATGCTTCTCTCTATCTGCTTTCGACGGGGAAGCACACGACCCCACAGTCAGGTGTCACAGGGTCCTCGGTCTCAGCATGTCACCCTTCTCGTGTCCAGTTCCACCGCATGAAACACATTCACGCTGCGCCGCAGCCATCGGTCACCCACTCCAGGTCCTCTTCATCCTCCCACAGCTCCGTCCCGGGTCAACACGGACTCCCCAGCCCCACCCCCAGCCCCTGGCACCCACCGGCCTTTCTGTCTGTGAACCTGACTCCCCTGGGGACCTCCTACAGGCACAGTCATCCAGGGCTTGTCCTTTGCGAGGGGCTCACCTAACAAAATGTTCTCGAGGTCCATCCGCACCGTAGCAGGGGTCGGAGTCCCCTTCCCGTGTGTGGAGACGCCGGGCTTCTGCTTCCCTTCAGCCGTCGACGGACGTGGCCTGTTTCCGCCTCTTGACGGTTGTGAGCGCGCATCTGGGCACGCGGGCAAGCACCCCGGAGTCTCGGCTTTCAGGCCTCTGGGGTATATTCCCAGAGGCGGAATCGCTGGACCCCCAGCTGAGTCTACCTTCCTCTGGGGCTGCCGCCCGTGTCCTGCAGCTGCGGGTCCTCAGCCCACAGGGAGGCAGGTGGCTTTGGGGCGGTGCCTCCTGGGGACCCCGTGTTGCAGCTCAGCAGGTGGAGCAGAGCCGGACACTGGCCATGTCACTACCTCGTGGACCCGACTGGGTGCAGGCCCTCGCCCAGCAGCCTGCAGCAGGTCCCAGGCTGTCCAGGGCCGGATCACCCAGGAGCTCAGCAAGCCAGCTCTCCTCCCAAGCCTCAGCTTCCTGAACGCAAAGGGGTCTCAGGCCCAAGGCCGTCCCCCAGGTCCCTGATGCAGCCGCCCCAGCTGGGACCAGGGCTGGCATTGCTCCATCTCCATACATGCTTCCACCTGGCATCAAAGGCTTCTTCCCTTTGGGGTTCATTTACATGCTTGAAAAAACCAACGATCCCACCTCGTAGCTCCCCCCAACCCACGCCGGAAATGAAGCTGTGTCGCCTGAAGAGGCGGTCGGAAAACACACATCCTCGTCGATCTGCTTTGAATATTAACCTAGAGCCCCAAGTGCCACCCTCTGCCTCCTTCGGGGACGGCCTGTTGACGGTGCAGCAAGGGTGCACCCTTCGAACGACCCCGGGAAAGTTGGCCCTCGAAGCCTCGGTTTCCTCACCTGCGGAGTGGGCGTATGGCCGCAACCTGCTCCATCTCACCCCAGAGAAACGGCAAACCCAGGCTCCCGTGTCACCGGGAATGTTCCTTCCTGCAGGGGGACCATTCCTGGGACTCTGGCCAACGGGGGCGGAGGGGGAGCAGATGCCTGGTGTCCTGCGGCCCAGCTGCTCTCTGCCAAGTTTGTCACATTTGTTGCACAGATGTTGGTGCTGAGCCCGGTGTCCTCGCTGTTCGGCTAGTCTGGGCTGACCCCCGCGGGGACAAGGGAGTAGGGGCCCCGGCCACACACCTCACCTGGCCCAGCCGCCTTGCTACAAGGTCCAGGAACAGCGAGCGCTCTGCCCAGCCCTCTGGCCCTCAGCTGGGCCTGCCCTGGACCCTGCCTGCCGCCACTGTTGGAGGAGCAGGTGGAGGGGGCAGGGAAGGTGTCTGGTCCCAGATGAGCTTGGCCTTCACCGGCTGTGGACTCCCGCAGGTACGGTGTCTCTAGTCCTGGCTTTTTTGGGCAGAGACAGAAATGCTCAGGGCCAGGTAGGTTGCAAGGAAAGCGTCCCGGGGAGCGCACCTGGCACCGCGTGGGGGCTGACACTCGTCACGGGGACGACGCAGCTTCGCCGCACACAGGTCACCGGACTCTCAAACACAGTAACCTCTTCCTCTCTCCACACCGGTGCGCGTCCCCTCACGCCTGCAGGCAGGCACACAGACGTCTGCGGACGGCCGCAGGGATTCTCACACGTGCGCACACGCAGGCTCCCGTGTGCATCAGCCTTTCTGCCATCCGCACAACCACCCAGTGCTTCTCAGAAACAACCACTGTCAGAACCAGGAGACCGAACACAGCTTCCGCCCGGTCTCTCGGGACACCGCCTCACACCTGGAGATGGCGATATGGCGGACCCCGCCATCCTCACGGGAAACGGGTTCAAGACACACTGCAGGTGTCCCCCCTCAGGCACATCGCAAGCTATTTAATGACGGTAGCATAAAACACTTTAATGTTCCGCTTACACAAACCCCCGCACCGGCCCTCAGCTGCACTCTGGGGGCTCCTGGCCACCCCTGTCTCCCTTCAAAGCAGCACCCCCTCCAAGTCCCGCTGAGCCCTCAGTCCCGGCTAGAGTGACACTTGTTTGAGAGAATCAGGAAGGTTGGGGACACGTTCTGTCGGCCTCCAGGAGCAGGATGGGACAGGGATGAGTCGGGACATGAGTTAGGGAGACCCGCCTTGCTGATGATCAGCTGTGACGGACGGTGGACACTCGGCCACGGGCCGGGCCGCACCTGCCAGGCCGGGCTGGCCGTGAGCTTGGTGCCCAGCGGCGGCCAGTTCGCGAGGCCTCCGCTCCACGGGGGCAGCTAGGCATGACCCCTCTGGCGCTGGCGCCGCCAACGTGGCTGGGTGCCCTGGCCAGGCGGCCCGGCCCCGCTCTGCAGCAGCCGCACCATCTCGTGGTCCTTGTGGTCGAGCACGCGGGGCAGGAACAGCGAGGACTTCTGTGTGCGGCGGGTCTTGAAGCCCCTGCGGGGCCGGCCCTTGCCGTTGACCGACACGTACCACAGTCTCTCGGCGCTGGGCTGGCGCCGGGCCCCCGGGCCGGTGGGCACTGTCCGGTACAGCCGGGAGGCGTAGGTGTTGTAGCCCAGCTCGTGGATCCGCTCCACAAACTCGCACTCGGCGTTGTAGTTCTCCTGCGGGTTCGGGGCAAGACGTCACGGTCAGCGGCTCAGGGGCCACACAGGCCTGGGCAAGGGTCCCAGGGACGGCTTCTCCTTCACACGCCTCCCTCCACTCTGCTCCTGGCAGATCCAGCCCAGACCCTGCACTGTGGCCCCACGACTCTGCCTAGGTGTGCCCCTGCCCCACGCGCCCGTCCCCCCACCGTGTCTGGTGGACTTGGCTTTCGGGACTCAGCTCCCGTATCTCTTCCTCCTCCTGTTTCCTGAGCACCTTGGGAAGAGTGGTTCTCCCTGGCCCCCTCTCGGGCTCCCCAGCCTCCCACACCCTCCGCTGACACTGAAGGGTGTCCCCAGCACAAGGACAGCAGAGACAGGGCTGCCCGACCCAGGCTGCCTAAGCGTGTGTGGGCGGCACTGATGTCAGGACTGGCCATCTGGACCAAGGAAGGGGTGCACCCTAGAAGAACTGCCCCCGCGCGAGAGAAGGAAAAGGGTATTGAAAGAACGGGGCGGGGACACAGCCGGGCTCCATCAGCGTCTGGGCTTGGACCCCAGCCCTGGCCCTTGAACTCAGCGTCTCTGCCTTGGCCTCTCCGTCCCTGCCTCACAGGCTGAGGAGCCAGGAGCCCGCGGGGTCAGAGCCCCTACTCAGCACGGACGCCGCTCCTGGGGCCGTGCGCAGGCACCACCCCAAAGCCGGAGAGGGAGGCAGGCTGACCTTGTCAGCAGGCTGAATGGCCCGCGTCCGCTTGGCACAGGGTGGGGGTGCGGATCCCTGCCCTGTGGGAGGCAGGTGTCCGGAGGCAAAACCTCGGAATTAAAGGAGCTGTCACCAGGGTCCAGCTGCCTCGTGGGGTCTCCCAGGCTGGGGGAAGGGGCGGGAGGTGGGAGGTGGGAGCAGAAGGCAGTCAGGGCTGAGCTCAGGCACCTGAGAGACATGGGAGTTCCCGGAGGCCAGGCCTGAGCGCATCTGCACGCCGGGGAGACCTCTGGGCATGTCTGCGGCACAGAGTGACGCACAGTAAGTGCTCAGGACACTGACGAAGGAAGGAAGGAATGCTAGATGGAAGGGGAGGGTAGGCGGATAGCGGGATGCACGGAGGAATGGATGGAGAGGTAAGTGGATGGGTGCTGACAGACGGATAGGTGGGCGGATGGACAGACGGGCTGGAAGAGAGTGAGGCTAGGGGCCGGCAGCAGGGTCCCAAGGTGGCTGAGATGGTCCAGGAGGTGATGAGGGCCTAAACTGTAAGCCCACTGGCCGAGAGGACTAGGCAGGGAGGTGCGGGGTGTGGATGGAAGAGAGACTCGGGAGGTACGGTCTAGGACTTGCAGATGGACCGGATGTGGGGCTGAGAGAGACAGCGGTGTCCGCCGTTACTCCAGCTGACCTTGGGCTTCAGCGAGTGGCTGGTGGGGCAATAATCAAGGTGGGGGAGTGCGGGGCACCGCTGTGTCCAGCTGGGGAGTGCTGCCCTCTGCCGGGGCCTTGGGGTGATCTCTGACTCGGATGGGAGGTCAGGGCTGGAACTGGGAGCTGTTGGGGTGCCGTGGCCACGGAGCCACAGAAGTGGATGCGCTGGCCTGAGAGGTGAACGCAGGCTGCCGGCAAAGACCAGGAGCCCCGGCAGCCAGGAGGCAGGGCAGGGCACCGGCAGCTCGCGGGCGGTCCTCCGATGGGCATGGGCAGGCACAGGCGGCCCCTGCAGGGCAGCGAGACCTTTCCTGCTGGCCTCGGAAAGTCCCACACGGTCCAGCGGGTCCTCCGGGCTCTCCCTCACGAGGCTGGGACCTCTCTGCCTCCTTCCCCAAAGCCAGCGGGTCAGCTCACGAAGACAGAGCCACAGGTGGGCTCTGGCCCCCTGGGGTCACTCCGGTCCGCTTTGCTCTGCCCCGAAGCCCGGGGCCTGGGTCGCCCATGAAAGAGGTGGTGGCAGTAGCCTTAGGCTCCCCGTCTCCGTTCAGCCTTCCCGTCCCCCTCTGTGGATGTCACTGCGGGCCAACCAGCCCTCCTCACTGGGCGTCCCCTCTTTGTAAGGGACAGGTCTGAGGCCGGTTCGAGAACAGAAAGTCCAGGGGCACCTTCCACCGCGAGAGAAACTCAGACCAGACCCCGGGCTCAGGGGCTGTCCTGGGGAACCACAACTGATGTCTGAGAGAGGCGGGCACCGGAGGGTCCCTCCTCCCACACACAGCTGCCAGCAAGTGGCCGCTGGGCCAGAGCCAACCGATGGTGCACCCCAGTTTTTGCCTTTTCTTTAGCAAAACAGGGAAACGTGTGCTAAAATAGTTGGCACAAAGGCAGGTTTTCCTGCAACTCTTGTTGATGGCACTTTGCCTGACTTCAGGGGCAGGGACGCGGTGCTGTTTCCCCCGTGGACCCCGAGTGCAGGGAGGGGACCGACGGCGATGGTCTTCGGGGCTGCGTCGTCTAGGTTACGTGTGGATGGAAAACCTCTCATTGCCCAAGAAGGTATCAGCCGAATTGCATGTAATGACTAGTTGGAGGTAGCAAGTTCCCTAGTTACATGTATTTTACTCCACGTATTCCCTGCCCCCGCCCTTGGGGAAAGGCCCGCCAACGCCCACAGAGTCACGGGACCCTTTTTGGTTGTGGACGCCCAGGCGGTGTGTAGACTGCGCTCCAGCCTGTGTGCCTGGGGCCTGGACCCCGTTTCCCGTCCTCCGGGCTCCCTCCTGAGAACGAGCAGCCCTGGCCTTGATCCTTCTGGGAGAACCAGCTTCCACACCAGTGGGTGGCTGCCCCCTCCATGCCCACCCACACGGGAGACCGGACTCACCGAAGCGTAGAGCCGTCCTCTCTTGTTCATGGCCAGGTACCGTCCGGAGAAGAGCCCCTTGATGGCCACAATGCCCACCTCCACTGCGGTTATCTCCAGGATACCTGCCGAGAGTGGGGAAGGCTCATCACTCCCTCCACCTGCACAGAGCACGGGGCGGGGTGGGGGCGGATGGACCCACTAGCCCTGCCCGAAGCTGAAACACAAGCCCGAGGAGGGCCACTTGGGAAGCTCGGGGGAGGAGAGAGATTACTGGGCAGGGGGTGAAAAGCTGGAGCATCAGGGAAGATGCCAAGGAGAAGAATTTGAACCTGGGGGTGGGTACAATAATGCATCATTTCTACAGCCGACGCTATGCCAGGCACACGGCCTCGAAGGACAGGGAGACAACCTCTCCAGCTGGTTTCATTAGACTGCTGGGGTCCAGCGACATGCCCAGGTGAACACCTTCTGAGCTCGAACTCCAAGGGGCTGCAGCTGCCCTGCCCCTTCCGCAGCGCACGCCCCAGCCGGAGCCCGAAAGCTGGGCCCTGGGGACAGCCGGCTGATAGCCTAACCCAGGCAGCTCACTGAGGGAGTCACCCAAGCCCTTGGCGCTGGCGCCGCACCTGGGCGAGCGCTGTGGAGGGAACCTGAGTTTAGCAGGAGGCAGGCTTAGACCCTGGAGCTCACAAAGGGGAGCAGGTTGAGCTCACCCACTCCCCACTGTGTATAAGAAACGCCTTTCCTTCTGGACACAAGAGTGCTTTCTCTTGGGGGGGGAGGGGGGTGTTTCAACAAAGGCACGGGTGAGGCCATGTCCAGAGAACGGCTCTAAGGGGCGCTGGGGTGCAGCGGGTACCCTGTCCAGGGGATGCGTTTTCGGGCGCGCGCCTGGCCCCCAGCGCGCAATAATCTCGCCAGGGATCCCCGGACTCAGACGGGGCCGCCAGAGCGCTCAGGTGCGCAGGCTGCGGCCCCGGGACCCCTGCTGGGCGGATCCCACAGCTCGCGGACCACGCAAACGCGCCACTGGGTGCCGGACAGAAGCGACTGCAGGCGCGTCCTCCTCGGTTTCCCGGCTGCCCGCCTTAAACACCCCAAGAACTGGGATGCACTGAGACCACGAAGTCTTAGAGAGAACGGGGGTGTCCCTGCGAGTCGAGCACGGGCGCTCTGGTGGCCCGGTACTGTGCACAGGGGAGCCCTGGCGACAGCTGGTCACCGAGGAGTCCCGGGGACACTCTCCGAAGACGCCCGCGCAGGGCTGCGGCTTTCCTGGAGGAAGCAGCGGTTTCCCGCCGCCTCGAACCCCCAACCGCTTCCTGCGCCAGGCAGGAGGCCGAAGGCGTGCGTCGCATCGGAGGACCCCAGGCCTCAGCCACACTCCCACGCCCTCCACTGCGGCACTACCAGGCCTCGGGCTCGGTCTCACGTCTCACGCTCCCCACGGGCGGGGCCGCATCGAGTCCCCGTGGCTTTGCGCTGCTCCCAGGAGGGCGCAGCACAAGCTCCGTCCCGGCGGCCAGAAGCTGGAGCCTCGCGGGACTGCGGCTCAGCCACGGCCCAGGCCGCGCGTTCTGGCTGCGGGGCGGGTGTCTCCGCGCCCCCAGACCCAGGCGGCGACCTCAGTGCTCCTAACCTGACGCCCCCACCCTGCCGGTCGCTCCGCGGCCGAGGGCGGAAGAGAGAGGGCTGCAGGTTCCACCCGGGGAAATAGTTTATCTGGGAGCCGTGCGGAACCGGCTCTGCCCCCGCGAGCATCTTCAGCCCCGCGGCGGCGGCGCGAGCGGGCAGGGCAGAGGGGACGGCGGGGCTCCCGGGGTCAGCAGGAGGAGAAGTCGTCAGAATAATAAAGAGGATGATAAGTGTCGTGTCCGGTATCTCTTCTCCGAAAAACTCAAGGGGTACAAACTTGTCTGGGGCACCGAATTCAGCCAAGCGGGGAGCCCTGGGCACCCTACCGCGCGCCCCTCGAACCAGCGGGCGGGACAGAGGATAGAGTCGGTCAGGCCAGCTCCCCCGACCCCAAACAGCAGCTGCCCCGGTTCTCCTCGGCCGTGAGCCCCACCGCACCCCCTGCGCCCCTCACGCCCTTCTGGACGCGGGGAGTGGCCCGCAGCCGCGACGCCCCGGGCGGACACTCACTGTAGGCGCTGTTCTCCAGGCTGCCGTTGACGCGGCCGCTCGGGTGCAGCTGGAGGTGGTACTTCGTGGCGCAGTAGAGCTTGCGGCGCCGGGGGGCCCCGCCAAGATGCTCGTAGACACCGCCGCGGCCGCCCGCATCGCGCCGAAGCCGCGCCCCGGGGCCGGCCGGCCAGCTGGGCTCCAGCAGGCTGAGCAGCAGGAGCCAGATCAGGCCCATCGTGGCATCGCGCCCGCCCCGCGGCGGCTGCAGGCGAGCGCGGCTCCCATGGAAGGGGCGGCAGCCGAGCCGGGCTAGGCGCGCGGAGCCGGCTCCCGCGCCTGGCGGTGCGGACCCGGCTCCGCGGGAAGCGGGGAGGGGAGGGGAGAATGGGGTGGGGTGGAGAGACAGAGAGAGAGAGAGAGAGAGAGAGAGAGAGAGAGAGAGAGAGAATGAATCTCCTTTAATTTTCACCCAGGATCGGGTGAAATTTCCGTTGCTGCGCAAAGCGCTGTAAGAAAAGAAGGTTCGGCAACAAAAGGCCGACGTGGTCCCCTGGCAGAGGCGCGAGAGGGGCGGGAGACCGGGCGGGTGGGGAGCCCGGCGGGCGTGGGGTTCGGGCCAGCGCCGCCCGCGCACAGTCGCCCCCGCACACCGCCGTCGAGCCTCGGCTCCGCTTCGCCGCGCGCCCCGCGCCCCCGCGCGCCCTCTGGGCTCTGCAAGGTCCCTCCAGGCCCCTCCCCCGCCCCCTCCCCCAAACCAATTATGCCTCCGAAAATTATAGACCGAGGCCTCGAGGCGGCTGCCCCAGGCCCTGTCACCCCCTCCCGCCCCCCATCAATCGCCCGGCACAATGGGGCGCCGCCGATGACTGATGTCCGCGAAGACAACTTGCGGGGAAGTCGCGCTGATAAACGCCCATTAGAGGCGGTGCATAATGAAGGGGCCGCGGAGAGCCGCGGAGGGAGGGCCGGGCGCGCGGGCGCGCGTGGGGACCCCGGGCTGTGTGTGCGTCTGGGGGTCCCTGCTGGAGCCAAGGCGCGAATTCGGCGGCCCAGACGAGGCGCACTGGCCAAGAAGTGCTTTATCCCGTCTCGCACCCCAACTGGGCAGATCCGGAAGCCGAGGTTTTCTCGCCTGGGGGGCGGGGGTGTCTCGGAGAGTCTGGTCCCAGCGGCGGGCAGGGAGGGGGCTGGGGAGGAGAACTGGAGGGTCCCAGAGAGCAGGAGAGACAGGCACAGAGACAGGGAGAAAGAACAGTAGTGAGTGTGACAGAGACACCAAGAAGCACAAATGGAGACCAAGAGTGATCCCCAGAGAAAAGCAGGTGAAGTTTGGTGGCCACGGAGAGGAGAAAGAAGAGAGAAGTGGCAAGAGGAGGGGGTTATGGAAACCCCCTGTCTGGTGGTCAGGGGCAGCAGGGTAGATGCCTTTGACTTCGTGTGGGGCCCTCTCCCTTTGGGATCCCAGTGCCCAAGGGCTGTGGATAGAGTGGGGGAAACCACTCCCTTACGCCCTTCCCGGGTTCCCCTGGCCCCGTCCCCTGGCAGCCCCTGGCCTCTGGGTCCCCTGGCAGCCCCTGGCCACGGGGTCCCCGGCAGCCCCTGGCCACTGGGTCCCCTGGCAGCCCCCTGGCCACTGGGTCCCCGGCAGCCCCTGGCCACTGGGTCCCCTGGCAGCCCCCTGGCCTCTGGGTCCCCTGGCAGCCCCTGGCCACGGGGTCCCCGGCAGCCCCTGGCGACTGGGTCCCCGGCAGCCCCCTGGCCACTGGGTCCCCGGCAGCCCCTGGCCACTGGGTCCCCTGGCAGCCCCTGGCTCCAGCAAAGGGGCTTGCTCCATGGCCGGGGGTTGGGCAGAGGGATAGGCAGGGAGGAGTAGGACCCCTGTGTGGTCCAGTGGTCAGGGCCAGCAGTCTTGGCTCCATGGCCAGGGGTTGGTGTCTCCCATCTCAGCCACCTGCATCAGGATTTGGGACCCTGGTCCTGCCCAGGGGAGGGGCAGGTGTGAGAGCACAGGGGACTCCCTCGAGCTGCAGGGGCTAGCACACCCCACTGGGATGTTTCTCACCAGGCTGGTGTATCCCCAGTAAGCCCGCCCAGCATGGTCAGTGCCTGAGGGCCCTGGGAGGGGCACCCCTAGGCATCATCCAGTACCTCAGTACCTGGGAGGTTGCTCCCGCCAGGGTCTGTCCACCACCACCACCTTCTAAGGACCAGGCCACTGGCTGCTAGAGCCCCAGATTCTTAATGGAGCCTGCTCCATGGGGGCAGAGGACAGTCCCTGGGGACAGAGCCAAGAGGGGAACTTGCCCACCCAGGCTCCACCCACAGAGCTGGCCTGAGACATGGACTTCCTATGGGAGCCCAGAAGGCCATTAGCTCTGCTCCGGGAGTCAGGGACCCCCTGAGGTTGAGCCAAGAAGACACAAGGAGAAAGGGGGAGAGAGAATCCATTTCGAGAGAACGAGAGCAGGCCCAGCCTGCCGGTTCAGGGGGAGGGCAGGATTCCTGACCCCCTTTGCTGTGCAGGGCTCAGCCTCCTCCCCTAGGGTCCCCTCGGGAAGATGCGGAGCAGCCAGAACCCATCTATGGAAGAAGCTCAGGCTTTGCCACCTGGCCCCTCTTCATGCCGCCCCGTGGTTCCCTAGGACTAGTTTCCATTCTGTCCACTCAGGTTAGCGGGCGCCAACCCCACGTCTGCCCCTGGACCCTGGACCCGGGGGAGGGGCTGCCAGAGAGCAGGGTTCCGAGGCTGGCAGGAGGCCAGGACGGCAGGAGGGTCTGCTGCCGTTGTTCACTGCGGTGCCCACAGCTCCTAGAGAGCAGCCCCTCAGTACCTGCTCCCCGAACGAACGAACAAACGAACGAATGAACGAATGAACGAACGAACGAACGAACGAACGAACGAAGAGAATGGCCCGCAGTGCTCTCTCAAATACTTGCTCCTCGAGTGTGAAACGCCTCAAATGCAGCGAGAGGAACAGAGGGATGATGGGTGCAGAGCGGGCCCATCAACAGGGACCGCCGTGTGCCATACGAACCGAGATGACTTGAGAGTGGCATAGGGCACTGCCACCAGCTATGCAGGGGCGGTGGGCACCTACGGCGTGAGGGCCCTTCCAGTGTGACTTTGCAGGCAGCAGAGCTTCCTGGGCCCTGTGTTCCCCTCTCCCCTGGGACACTCTGACGTCAGCGGGTGTTGTCTAGGGCTCTGCAGCAGCCCCATCCTTGACTAGCATTGGGGGGCACTCACCCACCTGCCGGCACCCCCAGTCCACTGCCCACAGCCGCTTCCTCTGGGCTGCAGGCCCTTGCTCACCCACCGACTTAGACCAAGGCCTTGCTCTTTATCCAAGTCGTCCTGAGCCCCGTGTCCCCGGCCCAGGAGTCCCCGGACACCTCGCGGGCCTCGGCTTGGCCCTGGACACCGCCAGGCTGCCTTCAGAGGCTTGGGCCCGGCCCAGGGAGGGGCACTGGGTTCCGTGGCATCTTCCTGGCAGGATCTCATTCACAAAGTCACCACGGAGGCTGCACCCCTCCCCATCCACACGGAACCAGGTGGGGGTGTGATGTGGTAATAGCGACCCTGCTGATTGCTTCCAAATGGTCACTGCACCATTTGACTAATTGGTCTCTTCCAGACCCTGGCCTGGTCACCCCCAGGCTGGCCCAGCCCACCTCCCCAGCAGCCCCAGGACCTCTGCTCTGGGTGCCCACCCCGGGGCCCCTCCCAGCCCCATCGGGGACCCGCCTCAGCTCCAGGGCACACATCTCCGGAGCCTTCCCCTGCAGAGGCAGCCGGGGGGGGGGGGGGGGGGACAACGACACGGAGCAGTGCCTGTGAGAGGGTCCCAGCCTGCCAATAGGGGTGACTGTCAGGTGGGGTGCTGGCTCCAGGTCCCAAACTCACTGTAACCGTGCCCCCCAAGGGCAGTGGGAGAGAGCCCAGGCCTCCAGTGCCAGCCTGGAGCCAGTGGGCCCTGAATCCTAGGGCAGGCCTGCTCAGCTCTCCTTACAGAGAAGCGAAGGCTCAGACATGAGGAGACTTGTCCAAGGTTACACCGCTGGAACCTCCACCTGTGGTCACCTTGGCCTCCCGGCCCTCCGTCCCCCACAGGCTGTGGGCAGTGAGCGCCCAGAGCCTGAACAGCAGGCTTCTCCTCAGTCTCCGCCTGGTCGATGCCACCGGGTAGACCAGCCCCAGACAAGGCCACCCTACTCCTAAGTGCACAGCCTGGTCCCAGCACCAGACAGGAGCCTACCAGTTGGGGGGCACAGCTCCCTCTTGGGGTTGCTCCTGGATGGCACCAGCTAGGGGCTTCCTTGGTGCCCAAGGGCAGTGAGGGCTGCTGAGTGCAGAGAGGGACGAGCCCCCTGCTCTGTGCCAGCGGACCTGGGGTGAGCCCCGCTCCAGAATGGCGTGGAGCCCAGGAGCCGCAGCTCACCGAGGGGGCCGATGGGAGCCGACAAGGGCATTCTGTGCGCGTCTGTCCCGGGCGGTCCTGGGGGCACGTGGCCGGGAAGGTGGAGACGGTGGGCAGGAGGCAGGGTCAGAGCTGGAGCAGGGGAGGACACAGGGCGCGGGCGGGGAGTGCGCTGGGCCCTGTCCCCAAGGGCGAGCGTGCCCTTCCCCCAGTTCTCGGGGCGCTGCCTGCCGGGGAAGGGTCCGTGCTGGGGATCTTCCCTTAGCCGCCTGCAGCTGCCGGGGGACAGGGGCCTTGAGATGCAAGCACGCAGCAGGCATGAGAGAGGAGTCAGAGTCATGGTCTCTCCTGGGGGGGGGGGGTGAATGTAGAATGTTCCAGAACCCCTCAGGCTCCAATTCCGCTGTGCTCATTGTCCCTCCCACCTGAGCACCTTGCAACTGTCAGCCCGTCAGTCCCAAGTGCAGGATGCCTGCCCTCATCGGGCCTCTCAGCGCCAGGCCCGCAGCCTCTGGTGGTCTGAGCTGAGTAGCTTCTCGCAGCACCAGGCTCCGGGTCCCACAGCGCCAGGCTCCGGGTTCTGCAGCGCCAGGCTCCGGGTCCCCGCAGCACCAGGCTCCGGGTCCCCGCAGCGCCAGGCTCCGGGTCCCCGCAGCGCCAGGCTCCGGGTTCTGCAGCGCCAGGCTCCGGGATGCATTTCTTTTTTTTTTTTTTTTTTTATCCTCACCCGAGGACACTTTTTCATTCTTTGTTCAGATAGAGCAGGAGGGAGAGAGAGAGAGAGAAACATCGATGTGAAAGGGACACATCGAGTGGCTGCCACCCGCACGACCAACCAGGGCCGGGGACAAACTGCAACCGAGGTACGCGCCCTTAGC